AAAAAAAAACTACCAGGGCCAAGGAGATAGCTTAGGACCTGGCAAGTGCAAAGTCCTAAGTTTGATCCCTGGTACCACTAAAAAAATAGAACTACCAAGTTGGCCTTAGCAGTTCTCCTTAAACCCACAGAAACGGGAGGAGAGGGAGGGGAAAGGAGGACAAGAAGGGAGATAAAGAAAAGAAAGAAAGACAAAAGGAAAGAAGGACAGGCAGGTAGGTGGGCTAGATATGGCTCAGTGCAAAGGCCCTGGTTTCTTAGGAGAGGTTTATTTTTTTTTTTTGCTTTTGGTGCCGAGGACTGAACCCAGGGCTTCCAGCTTGCCAGACAAGCATTCTACCGCTGAGCCAAATCTCCAGCCCCTGAAGGTCCTGGTTTCAATCCTCAAGACTTTAAAAAAAAAAACAGGAAACTTACACATGTGCTTGTCAAACAATAAAAATTAGAGAATGTTTCAATTAAGAAAGTATTTCTGGAATGCAGGTTAAAATTACCTGAATGTCACTGCTTCTTCAGTATTATTCTCCAGTTGTAGACTTATCCTCCTGAGAACCCTAAATCAGGACAACCAAACCTCACCCTCCTGAGAATGCTAATTCAGCATCATGAATCCTCATCTCCCTGAAGTCAGAGCATACAGAGGCCTGATTCAGGCACTAAAGGAACTCAGCACTGAGTGGAAAAGTCCATCTCTCCCTCACTCCCCAGTTCTGACCTTTTACTCCAGTGTCTAATGCTTTTCCCCCACTGCCCCTTCAGTCAACTTCCAACTACACTCCTGCCTCTAAGTGGCACTCATTACTCTGGTTTCTCTTCAGACTGTATAAGTCTTTTGCCTTTTTTCTAAGGGGCACTTGTGCAGCAATTTCATGTTAAATGTGGTCCAACCTCCTAAATCGATGTAAATTGCTGAAGTCCAACTAACGATCCATTGAGTTTTCCATGCTAACTCCAGTGTAGTAATCTCTCCTCCTCAAATTCCTTTGTGCATTTATGTAAATTTCAATTATATAGTCACAGTTTTCCATTTCCTTTAATTTGTGGTGTTGAAAATGGAACTAAAGGCCAAAGGCCTTAAGCATGTTAGGCAAGCAGACTTCCACTGAGCTACAACCCCAACCCATCATAGTTACTTTTTTTGCTTGTTTGATTTTTGAGAAAGGGTCTTGCCATGGAAGTTCTGGCTGGCCTTAAACTCATTTCTGAAACCCAGGCTGACCTCAAACTCACAGCAATCCTCCTAAGCCTCCCTTGTGTTGAGACTACAAGCGTGCACCACCACGCCCTGCTTCCATCACAGTTTTTCAAAGGTATCTTAGTACCATGCTTCTTCTCCCATGGCATTTCCTACTATGGGTGAATAACTGTGAGTGATTTGTAGTATCAGAAATATTCAAAAAGCAGGCTATTTCAATGTTGATCAAATTAAACTGCTCTTCTTTTTGAAATATAGATATCTCCTTCCACATATTTAAACGGAACTATCACTAATATGTACCTAACTTACTCTTTCTCCAAACTAAGGATCTTTAACTATTTGAATTACTCCTTCAGTGTCATGATCTCTACTTTACTTATCCCAATTAGCCTCCTCTGAACAAGCTCTAATTTGTAAAGGCACTGAGATATGTTGTGGTAGCAGAACTGAAGAAAATGGTCCAAAAAGAGACTAACAGTACGGCAGGAGGATGAATTCTCTTCATCTGGCTACCCAGATCTGTGATCCCAACACTCAGGAAGCTGGAGCAGGAGGATCAGCACAAGTTCGAGACCAGCCTGGGCTACAAAGTGAGCTCAAGGCCAGGCTAAATTGTACAGTGAGACCCTGTCTCAAAAACAGGCAAAAGAAAAAAAAAAAAGAATGTCTTTTAAAATTTCTGTACCTGTTGTATTAGTATTATGGGAAATGTCTGTATATCCTTACATCAAATATATAATACATATCATTTCTCTAGACCACAAGTTAGCAAACTTTTTCCATGAAGGATCTGATAGTAAATACTTTTTACTCTACATGTTATATAGTCTCAGCAGCAGATACTTATCTAGTCACTGACTGCAGTACAAAAGTAGTCACAGGGTCAGGGATAGCTCAACAGCATAAGAGCCTGCCTAACAGGCTCAAGGTCCTGAGTTCGATCCTCAGTCCCACAAAAAAGAAAAAAAACAAAACAATAGAACAAGTAAAAGTAGTCATAAACAACATGGAAATGAATGGTTGTAACCATGTTAAATAAAACTTTATAAAAATAAGTGGCAGGCTCCTGTAAATTTACAGCTGAGTTTGAAATAATCTGTTCCTGAGCCCACGAGATTGCTCAGTGGGCTAAACATCTGCTTAGGCAAGCACAGGAACTGGGGTTCAATCCCCAGCACCACATGCCACCCTGGCCCTGCCCCCAGAGTCTGGGCATGTTCACACATGCCTGTAATCCCAGTGCTGGGGAGGCTAAAAACAGGAGGATCATTAAGAAAGACCCTGTACCAAATACATTTATTTAAAAAAGAATCTGTTCCTACTAAACCCACTGCCTAAGTGGTTCTTTTTCTTGAGGGAAAGTACTGGGGATAAAACTTTTTTTTTTTTTTAATGTATTTGGCACAGGGTCTACAGGGTCCCACTACACAGACCACAGATCAGTCTTGCAGTAATTCTATTTTCAGCCTCCCAAGAGCTGGGATTATAGGAATGCGCCACCACACCCAGTCTATGGGGATCAAACTTGAGATTGATTGCCAGGCAGGCACTTTTGCCGCTATCCTCGGCCCTAAACATACTGTTCTAAATAACTGAAATCTCCTAATCAAATAATCTGTCCCACAACTTAGCTGCTGATTTTAACTTGCAATGTCTAAAGTTCTTTCATGTGCCAGGTGTGATGGTGCACGCCTGTAACACCAGCACTTAGGAGACTGAGACAGGAGGATCACTGTGATGATCAAGACCAGCATGGGCTACAAAGAGAACTCAAGGTCAGCATGAACTAAATGAGACCCTGTCTCAAAAAAAAAAAAACAGAATAAAATAAATTTTCTTCATGAGTTTTCTGAAAAGTGGAATAACATTTAACTATCCTCAGCTTCCTTCTACTTCTCCATCCTCCATTTTTTCTTAAATGACCCTATCTACTACAACTATACTTCCTATATTAAAAGACAGAAATTGTAAAAATATAAAGACTTTTTGTGTCTTTATGAGATAGTGTCTTGCTATGTAGTTCATGGTGGCCTCAAACTCAAAGCAAACTCTTGCCTTGAGTATTGGGATTACAGGCATATGCCACCACACCTGGCCAAAGAAATTATCTGCTCTCGGGGCTGGTGAGATGGCTCAGTGGTCTAAAGCACCTACTTAGAACAAGCTTAACAAAAAAGCACAGGGACCACGGTTCAATCCCCCAGCACCACATGCCAGCCAGCCCCACCCCCTGGTGGGCTGAGCTGGCCACACACACACACACACACACACACACACACAAATAAATAAATAAATAAATAAATAAAAAATAAAAATACTAAAAAGAAATTATCTGCTCTCTTCTCTCATCCACCTTAGCATTCATTCTCTTTTGATGTTATTTACACTTTTTTTTTTTGTCTAAAAATCACTCCTTAAAAAACGCAGAACCAGAACATGAATTAAGCAGTCTTCCTTTCTCTCTAGCACCTGCAAGTATTAGTTCTCTGAGAACTGAGTATTATTCTTACTCCAACAAAAAAACAAATCACCTTTGCTGTTTCAAAAGAGCTCATGCAATGAGACTTTCTGCTATTAATTACACTGTTGTTTTCGATAGACAGAAAGATCCCCTTTCATTTTCTTATGTTCTGAGTTAATTTTTTAAAATTCCTATTAAATTATACCAACATCTTCCTCCCACTGTCATTGGGATTACTTGCAATTACATGACCAGAATCTTCCTCTTAGAAACTAAAAGTCAATCTACTCCTTTGAAGAGTCTCAGGTTGGGGCCGGAGAGATGGCTCCGTGGAATAAATGCTTCCCTGGCAAGCACAAGGGCCTGAGGTCAATCCCCGGTTCCGCAAAAAAAAAAAAAGTCTCAGGTTATGAAGATGACTGTTGTGATACATACTTGTAATTCCAACACTTAAGAAGCTGAAGCAAGAGGATCTATGCCCTGTTTTATCCATGCCAATGTATGAAAGCAGAGATTTGGATTATTTCAACAACAGAAAAATTTTAAATCAGTTCACCTGGCTTTATAATTCTTTCAGGTAAGTTACCCATAGAATATATCAGTAATGGCAAATCTTTTAGAGCTTTCACTGATACAGCCTGCTTCAGCAATCATGCCACAGGTTTTGCCACCACAGGATTATATATTACATGAGTTATCAAAACTGTTTTGGGGCTGACAGAAAAAAGGAATCTATAAAGACACAAGTCACCGAAGATTAAAAAACCACTACCCACCACTGACATTCCATCAGTGAATAAAAATAAGAAAGCAACAGCACGCCTGAGGCCAAGAGTTCCAAAGTAGGACTAACATCCATTCAATTCTCAGCTCTGCCACTTATGAGCTAAGCTTGGGTAATTAACTGTTCTGTGCTTAGTTCCCTCATGTGTAAAATAGAATAGTTCCTAACTATTATTTTAAGGTCCTAATGAGCTACACTTGATGCAGGCTCAAAAGAATAATTCAATCCCAGCACTCTGGGAGGTTAAGCCTAGAGAATTACAAGTTTGAACCAATCTTGGTCAAATTAGAAACTTAGTAAGACCATGTCTCAAAATTTTAACATAGAAAAACAAATAAAAAGGGCTAGGGACTTAGCTTAGTGTAAAAGCCCTGAGTACAATCTTCAGTATCACATACACGTAAATAAAATACCCATGCAAACACAGTCTCAGAATTTCACACTTCTTTCCTCAACTTTCTGTTGCTTGAGCCAATAATGAGTTATCTTTAATTGCAAAAGATCTAACTTCTCAAATTGAAGAAGTTTTACAAGGTTATCCCTATCATTCCCTTGGAAAACTACATAATTTGAGGGAAACTAATTTATGAGGTCACTTACCAGAGCTTAATCCATCCAAATCAAATAAGCTCCAAATTCACTTTACAGTTGATAAAAAAATCACCCATTTTAATTTTAAGCAAACTTCTCCAGCACTACTACTATCACTTTACTGGTCAAAGGCCCTTCCTAACCAACAAAACTCCATCTTCATTCTAAGCACACATTCATCACACCATACCAACTCAAGCCTAGCCAGCCAGCCAAAGATCCAATTAAAACATGAATGTTGGACAATGATATGGACAAAGGCCTAGCTATCAATGGAAAAGCCATGAGAAG